TACCGACAGTGACTTCTCTTGCTTGCAATTCGTCTACGAACATGCTTAGACAAGCAAACATTCTCAACACTGGGCAAGGCATATCGCTATGATGCTCTCTAGACATTGGTATTGAACGACACTTTAGCTAGTTATTGCTCTCATGCTGAAGAACGGCCATATATCCACACCATATGTTTGTCAAGATAATGAGCGAGTTACCCTCGTGCTCGTCAAGTAGATGGATGACAATATAATGAAAAATAAAAGCAATAAATAACTACAGCACTATCATAACATGATTCCTTTCTTTCTTTCTTCTCCGTCACGTTTTACCTTTGTTCTTTTCTTCTTCTCTTCTCATGTCGTTTTCGCTCGAAGACTGTTACATTCGGAGATATACAGTAGTCGAGAAAAAAATTACGCCGAATGATACACTTACTCCTAGTCTGAGATTGTTATTTCGATTCTCGGAATCGCGAATGATGCGCACGACACAACTTGCGCACGGCACTTTTCTGACTACTAAGTAATGGTATGATACGAGAATGAGGGTGCACATGATAATTTAGGTGTGGGTGTGAGTGCCGGTGTGGTTGACAGTTTGTTTTTTCTTTCGAAACCTTGAGATCTCAATCCATGCGTAAGTTTCGTCGTGTGCATCTTTCGTAGACCACCTAGTGCAATCAAATTTTGACAAAAGTGGCTTTAAGCGAAGTCATTCATAGGAATGCTTCGTGAAAGTGAAACTCACAGATTACCATATTGTTCGTAGCAAAGTTCGTTGAAAAATATGAACTATGCCCTATGTTAAAATCAGTAATAATCAACGCTATACTTCAAGAGTATTATACACTGGGCGAGTGAAAGAACCTCGAAGAAAGCAAGAAGATTCTGAAAATTTGCAGAAGTTGAGTGTAACTAAGTATTGAGAGAAAGAAGATCGAAGGATCTATTCACACATATTCGCAGTACTAATAATGACTACTTCATTTCTGTGAAGTATTCAGAGTGTCTCAAAAGTCTGCCGAAAAAGTAAATTCATATAGCTCTACTATTTATCAAACTTAATCAACTAATTTCGTTTCAAATGATAAATATAACTGCAAAGTTTTTATTTATTCGGACAAAGTTCAAGAATACTTTTCAAAGTTATCACTTTCGACTCAAATACAAAAACACTCTTTTTTCGAGTTACGAAAAAAAATACTTCGTATCGTTTTTCTTTCACTGCTTCAATCTTAATCTTTTCTATGGCGTTTATCTCGACTATACCTAGCACTATCAGTGATATGCATTTGTGTTGATGTACCACTGCAAAAAACCTTAGTAGTATCAAATCCAAGGACCATGAAGTTGATGAGATCATCTCATCTCTTCTAGTTCATCATTTATTGTTCGAAAAGTTAAAGCCGCCTCACGGGTTTAATAATCATCAAATTTGATACAAATAGGCTTCTTTTGCAATGACACATCAGCACAAAATCATATCACTGATAGTGCTGCTAGGTGTAGTCAATATAAACGCGATAGAAAAGATTATGGTTGAAGCAGTGAAAGAGAAACACTGTGAAGTGTTTTTTTTTCTTAACTCGAGAAAAGAGTGTTTTTGTACTTGAGTCGAAAGTGATAACTGTGAAAAGTATTCTTGAACTTTGTCCGAATAAATGAAAACTTCACAGTTTTATCTATAATTTGAAAAAAAAATCAGTTGATTACGTTTGATAAATAGTTGAACTATATGAATTTACTTTTTCGACGGACTTTTAGAACACTCTGTACTTTACCGGTGCGCACACAGAAGCAGAATATGGAATCATAGAATGGGCTGTATCAAGAACAATATAAGACGAGTTATTCTTTGAGTCAGGTTATAGAAAATGAAATGTCGCAACAACTAATCGACATGAATTTGACGAGTGTTATCCTGTTCGGTGTAGTTTTCTAAGAAAAGAAGCTGTTCGAGATTGTATTCTCGGTTACAACTTTCGAGAAATTTTCGAATGACTAGACTAACAAGACATGCATTTGAAAACATTACTGCTATATACACATAATATTGAGGGGATTCTCGAAAAATCAAATGAAATCATACAGTGATTCCATGTTGGAAGTTTTTAAGTCCTCGCCATTTATTCTTATCAAGTTGCATTCTATTCGTCGTGCTGTAGAAGAGGTTCTGTTATTCATTTTTATTGGCAATTGATATACGTGAAGGATTTGAGAGAACAGAGGATGAGTCATGAGAGCAACAGTTCGAACGTGTCAGTATTTTTCCGTTCTCATAGAAAAGGCCTATATTTTATGGTTTTGTATGAATGCAAGAATAATACAAATTAGTTGCTTCCACTTTTTGTAGTTGAAGTTATTCTCAAGATGGATCAGACAAATTGCACATCTCAACTTTTACTTTCAGCCGCGATCGGTGTAACTCGAACGGTCGGCAGTTTCCCACTTGAGCATCCCCCTGATACCATTCGAACACGATGGCAAGCAAATCCAGCTCAATCCCACACTGCTCTTCAAGTAGGACGTGAAATCTATGCATCGAAAGGTTTTCTCGGCTTTTACGCGGGTGCTATTCCGAATATGACTCGACGTGCTATGAAACAGACATATCGGTGGCCGATGATGCTCTTCTTTCTAACTTTCTATCAAAATCATGTTCTACCAAAATGTGTGCAACAAAAGTATCCTCACGCGTCGAAAATTCTCACTGGTATATCGATTGCTAATTTCGAAATTCTAATCATCAACCCTCTGGAACGACTAAAAGTTTGCTTGATGACCAGTCCCACACGTGTCAGTCTTTTCGAAATTTTTTGGCAGTGTGCAAACTTTCGACAGGTGATTGGAGAACTATATCGAGGAATATCGGCGCTTTTCTATCGACAGAATGTTTCCTGGTCTAGTTTTCCTTACACCGATGAAATAACAAAGACACACTTGCGCGCATTTAAGCAATCAAAAGACCTTACATACGTTGATCTTCTTCTGGCAGGAATAATGACTGGATTGGTGAATACAATTGCAGTTATGCCATTCGACTATGTCAAAACACAGAAACAAAAATTCTTGCGAAACAACCAACAGATGCTGACTATTTTGTTAACAGCTATGAAACAACATGGCATCGCACGGCTTTATGTTGGCTGGAAAGTCTATCTTGTTCAGTGTGCTGTTGTGGCTGCGTTAATGGTGAATGTTTTAGATAAACTTGAACGAAAATTCAAATATTCAAATGGTGCGAAATCATAGCATCTCTGCTATGAGAAGGTGTGGGTATGAGTGTGTGATTAGATATAGCCATCCACAACAACGCTTGATTCTATCTTGGCGGGACTTCATCAAGTGGTATCTTAGTATTATATCTATAGGGTGCTCCAAAAGTCCACCGAAAAAGTAAATTCGTATAGCGCCACTATTTATCAAACTTAATCAACTAACTTCGTTTCAAATGATAGATATAACTGTAAAGTTTTTGTTTATACGCAAAAAGTTCAAGGATAATCTTCAAAGTTACCACTTTCGACTCAAATACAAAAAGCACTCTTTTTCGACTTAAGGAATAAAATACATGAGGGTGTACGTGAGTCTTGATCATCAATTCTACACCCATTCACACATCCAACTCACACCAACACGCATCCACACACACATGCACACCCTGTTTTTCAAATTGAGTGAAAAAAGGTGGATGGGTGTGGGTGTGGGTATGAAAGAATTAAAGATTCACACCCACACCCATACCCTCTCTTCACTTCCTACCTATTATAAAAACGAAAGCACTATGTATTATGATTAGTTACTACTAAAAATGAGCTTGTTTTCTCTGTGGAGTGAAAGTAAGATGCTGATATTATATTGGTAGTGACTCGAACGAAAACAAAAATGACATCACTGATCACTTCCTACCTATTCAGAACGGAAAAAACCATGTATAATACTTTTTCACTAACAGAAATGGGGTGACCGATCACTTCGTCGCACGATACTTCGTCGCAATCATTTCGTCGCATGATCACTTTGTCGCGTTCTGTTCGGCGCAGAAAAAAATTTTTCGTTCTGTTCGTCGGAGAAAAATTTCTTTCGCTGTGCTCGTCACTATCTATTCATTGCATTTCTCTTAATTAATTTTTTTTTAAAGATATGAAATTGATGAATTAATTCACCTTTATTGTGTGTATTATACATAACATAATGATGAATAAAGTGAGAACAAAAAAAAAGAAAAAAAAGAAAGAAAAAAGCAAAAGAAAAAAGAACGAAAAAAGTAACCTAAAGAAAAAAAGAATTTTAAGAAAAAAACTACCTAGAGATTAATGTTGGCTGCCGTATTTGTTAAGAATTGATCCAGTTGAGATGAGTCAAATGCATTGACTAGCCAATTAATTCGTTCGTCCAATCGTCGATAGCAAGCCTTCGTCGTCTTAATATCATGACCTTGGAGAATTTTCGCCATGTCCACTTCGAATTTCGATTGTTCACGACGAATTTCGTTTGCCAATTTCACGATATTTGGATGATTGATTGCGACGCGGTTCGCAAATGCATTATGCCAGCCTTCCACCGAATTGTTCGAACGAGATACAGCAGCGACGATATGATCTTGAATATTCCATAATTTGTGATCAAGCTGAGGCTTCTTTCTACCAGTTCTTAAGAAAGTTGAGCATATTTCAAATTTCTCAAAAATAAAGAAAAAAATTACCTCTTCTTTTTGGTTCACCAATCCATGTTCTTTCAAAATAATCAAGTAAATCGTCGGCGTCATCGTCGAATTAATCGGCAATTAAGTCAAAGCCAGTTGTAACTTCATCTACTGGAACAAAGACCAGAGCAATCAGTTTTTTTTACATTTAAACGAAAACACTCATCTTCTCTATATTTTGTTGTCAATCTTTTTTCTTGAACTTGCCGCCAAGTCGCTTGCGAAAAATGAAAGAGACATCCTATAACAAACGTTTTAATTATTTTGTTTTTGAAAACACTAGAACATACCTATATATAAAACGTTTGGCAACATTTCTTTGACTGAATTGATTGTACCGGTTTCGAAATCAGTCATAATTGATTCAGATTGAAAATCGTCTTGTTCTAACACTTTTTCGAAGAATAAATTGTAGTCTTCAGTACTTTTACCAATTAATAACCCATAACCGATAGGAATAATTGCATTAGTCATCATTGCATGTAATGTAAAGAGTTGATAATAATCATCGGGACACATCTACATCAAAGAAAATTAGAAAAAAAAAGGCACACATTTAATTGTTCGTTTACCTTGAACGTTCCATCAGTGAACCAATGTTTGTTTTGCTTCAGAATAGATAAATTAGTTTTCGTTGTAAAGATAATTAAATTGTAGTCTTCCTGCAAGATGAAGTTTTCATCACGATACGTCTTTCTTAATTTTTCTGGTAAACGATCATCGGCATCGACTGTTTCAACAGTACGTTGTCGTCGAATCATTGGCATAAGTGCTTCGTTTCTTGGAAGTTCACCAACGGCAATCAATGGATGTGTACGTAAGGTCGAATGGAAAATTGAGCTGGATGATTCATCTGTTGTTGAAGCACGAGCTTTAATATCATTTTTTAATTGGATAGCTGGAACACGATCAGGTTGTGGAGCATGGGAATGTGATATTGGTTGTGAGAGAAATGCGTCCATTGATAAATTGGTATGTCAACGAGCTTGATTGATAGATGATTTTTCATTTAAATTAATTGATTGGTGTTCAAAATGACCTTACCTTTACAATCTCGATTCTGACATCGAAAAATCAATTTCGTTGTTGTTGCACGTTCTACCGTATAGATGTAACCTTCATGGTGAATCATTGGTTTTTCTTTCACAGAAAAGAGTTTTTCGATTTGAGACATTTTGTTTGAAAAGTACTATGCAGTGAAAGTTGAGATTGAGAAATGAAATGTATTTTTTTATTTGACTTGGTCTCATAATTAAGAATATTGGATCAGTGTTATCTTTGGTCTGGTTTATGTTGAAATTCATTAACCGAGTGATATATCTAATTATTCTTCGTTCACTTTAGCTCTATCATGATTATATTTTAGTAATATTTTTTTATTGATCCATTTTCCCAATTAAAGTCATATGCCTTAGAACAATTAATTATCCATCATTATTGTACATATCTACTGCAATTTTTCATTTATTTTATTCTGTTTTGATTGGTTATAGAAAATAAAAAGAATTAATTAAAAGAGTTGCAACAAGTAGATAGCGACGAACAGAACGCGACAAAATATTATGCGACGAAGTGATCATGCGACGAAGTGATCGCGACGAAGTGTCGTGCGACGAAATGTACTAGTACCAGAACCATGCACAACTTATCCGATTGGAACAATACATGAATTTTCTATTGTTACCAATATTTTAACATTCATGACTACAAAATCATTATTTTCATAATTTGAACACACATTGGAAAACGGAAAACTAGGAGCATGATTATAATCAAATCTTCAATAATAGCGATGGTTTTCAGCCGATCCGTACGATACCATATAGTTATAGTTTAATCCACTATGATAGAAGAACATTGTTCATATGATCTTGGATTATAAAACAAACCAGTACATTTGACACTTACGAGAGAACCGCCCGAGGTGCCCAACGCCGATTTCCTTCATTCATATGTTATTCCATAGAGGACATCCAGATAGTAGAAAGCCTAAAAGGATTTGGGCTGACAGGCTCTCTGTCTAAAGTTATAAGCATTTTACTGGAATTTTAGGCTATGGCATGGTATATACCAATAAATCGAATGACGGTATTTCGACCTGAGATTTGAGGAACTGCAGAATTCTTCCCAAGCAGAATTCAGAATTTAAAAATCCAATTGGTAAACACTGGATTCGTTCCCTAAGATATATTCCCATTACCGAATAAATTAGTAACCACTACTCTCAGAATTTAAACGGAATTCCTTTACCATTAACATAATAAAACTTTCACTACGTACACTAGAATATTTTATACCCAAGAGAAAACAAAAATTCTAATGAAGTATTTTAAAATATCAGCAAAATTTAAAACAGAATTCTATTACCACTAACAGAATGTTAACTTTGAATAGTCATACTAGAGTGGTGTATCCCCAAGACACAAGAAAAATTCTGATGAAGAATTTCAAAAATATCAGCAGAATTTAAAACACAATTCTGTTACCACTAACAGAATATAAATTTTCAACAGGAATACTAGAATAGTGTAGCTCCAAGGGGAAAGGAAATTTTCTAATGAAGATTTTAAAAATATCAATATAATTTAAATCGAATTCTGTAATGACTAACAAAATGCAAACTTTCAATAGACACGCTAAAATTGTATATCTGCAAGAGGATAGAAAGTTGTTTTTGATAACACAGAATTCTAATCAGACTTTAAACAGATCAGAACGGAATACACCATCTCTAATAATGCAGAATTCTACAGAATTCTAAGCAGAATTCAAACAGACTAGTACGGAATACGTTGTCTTTGATGACACAGAATTCTACAGAATTTCACAGAAATCTAGCCAGAATATAAACAGACCAGAAAAGAATAGTATAGTCAACTCGTTTTTAAAAAAATGTATAAGTCCGCAGAATTCTGAATTCTACTTGGTAGGCATTCTGAAATTGCTGGAGATTTTGCTCACAGGCAGGTGTATTTATGAGTAGAATACCCTGAAAATTTCAGCTGAAAAGAACGCTTCTTTCCCGAAATATTTAGGTCTCAAAAAACAGAATATTCTAGCATCTTTTGTAATATATAAGTCATTTTTGGGACTTTAATATCTCGGAAAAGAAACGTTCTTTTCAGCTGAAATTTTTAAGGTATTCCACTCATAAATAGACCTGTCTGTGGGCAAAGTCTCAGGTCGAAATACCGTCATTCAATTTATTGGTATATATCATGCCATAGCCTAAAATTCCAGTAAAATGCTTATAACTTTAAACAGAGAACCTGTCAGCCCAAATCCTTTTAGACTTTCTACTATATCGATGCTCTCTATCAAATGACATATGAATGAAGGAAATCGACGTTGGGCACCTCGAGTGGTTCCCTCGTTAGATATAAGGTCTGTAAAATCAGTATTCATTTTTGTCGTTACGAAGAATAATTTTATGTATTTGAAAGAGAAATTCTAAACTATGAGATTTTTTGAATGATAATGACTCTGAAAGGGTGTGGGTGTGGGTGAAGAGAAGACGAACGTCAAACCGACACTCATCTACACTCAGACTCACACCTGTCATTTCGAGTCGCTGTTGAGTTCCATTGACTTTTAACACCTAGAATTAACAGCTATTGTTGTTTCTTGATCGTTCGGTGTTATTTGCTTTTTCTCCTGTCGATTTAGAACATCCGAATCAGTTTGAAGAACGAGTTGACCCTTCAATAATGATCAATTAGTAATCTGTGATGTCTTATATTGATTTAGCCGATGGCATTCCCCAATTATTATTTCTCTGATTGATCCAGAGTGACTAAGACGAGAAAAGACAAGTACTGATTGATTTCATGACTTTTTTTCATGTCAAGTGGCATAAATTTGTAAAAATATATTTTGTATGCTGCCTCACGTCGAATTCTTCTATTTTAAGACAGATCATCAAAAAAATTGCGATTCAACATCATTAAATAGTAACTTTTAGCAGAGATTAATGAAGCAAAGGCCTATAATTCAGTCTATTTCTGTGTATCGATTAGTGTTTCTGATTTCAGTCAAGCAGTATTAATTTTAGTCCGAATCCAATTAAGATAAGCACTAGTACGAGTGTAAACACCTGGATAATTTGAGAGGGCACAACCATATCCAAAACTGACCACACCAGAAAGATACCACTGATTATTTGCATTGTACATCAATGGACCTCCACTGTCACCTTGACAACTATCCTTTCCTCCAAGGTTCGGAATACCGGCACCAATCTGTCGTCGTACATCGAAGTTATTCCCATAAACTTTTTCCGCTTGATTATTCATTACAGAGACAGAGACCTGACGGAGTGAAGAAGCGACGTTTCCACTCGATGATAGAACACCCCAGCCAGCCACTGTGACACGTTGAGATTCTTGAGGATTAGGTCCGGGTAAACAGATTGCACTGACATAGTTATTGAATTGTACTGGCTGCGCGAGACGAACCAAAGCAATATCGTTGGCTTCAGTTCTTGAACTGTATTGTTCATGGACGAAGACGCGCAAAACACGAAGATTTTGTGAACGTGGTCCGTTGACATCAGTTCGTCTATGTAAGCCAGCAATGACTCGAAAATTTGTCGAGCGTATGCAATGTGCGGCTGTGAGCACATGCCGATTATCAATCAGCGTACCACCACAGAAATGACCTCCTGATTGCAAAGAAACAATCCACGGCCAAGAATGAGCAGTGGCTTCGACGCCACCAACAATGCGATGATTGGATGGATTAATTGCTTGGCGACCACAGGCATTTCTTGTCGTTGGTTTTTCAATGCTGTTTGTGGGACAACAATAGCGAACCTTGTAATCAGCACACAATTTCGTTTTGAAATTGACAACCATTTGATTCAAACACAAGAAACCGTCCGCTTTTGTGAGTTGCAAGACGTCACCGGTTTTTGTTGGATCACCATCATGTTGTGTTCGAACCTAGAAGAAAAAAACTTTTAGCATTATCCTTACGAAATGAAAATATGAACCATGATAGAACCGTTTAGTTGAAAATGACAGTCCATCATATCATGCTGTCTATCACAGTCTGTAGAACAGGCTGGCCACAACAGGAGAGGATAGATTGCTCACTTTTCTATCTCTAGACTTCAACACTTATTTTCAATCATGTTTCACAAAAGTAGAAACTTAAGTGTATGTGACATTGAATTTACCTCGATGGCGATCGGATTACGACACATGGAGTTCGGAAACACTTGTTGAATATGACTTGTGACTTTGAATTCACCTCGTGATAAATTCGGATCAGATGTATCAAACCAAGGTGTCCATGTACTGTAGCTTGTACAACTATTCTGTGTAAACGAGGGCGGATCGAACATACTTTGGCTCATGAGACTACTGAGCGAAACGAGTAGAACGATTCCTGCGACAAACATTATACCTAGTCCAAGTAAAAATTGCAATACTCGTGACTTGAGAATCAATGGCATCACGTATGAAACTTTGGGCTTTTATAAGAATCTCATTAAGCCTTTGAATAAAGTAGATGCTTCGTATTTGCGTCATTGTCAATGAAATTGGACCCAATGATGAAGACTAAATATTTGACTTTTTTCTCGAACTATGACATCAATCAGCAGATAAATAGTGCAAGATTCAATCCAAAGCAAATTGACTTTCGGATGTAAGTGCATTATAAGCTTTGAGAAAAAAGAGCTTATGTCCACAATAACATCGTCTCATTCGATTTAAGTTTGAAGTATATGAGAAAAGATGAATTTTAGACGATCTTCGTTTCCGAATATTGCTTGATTATAGTCCATAGTATCTTATTGAGAGATCATCATGACAATGATAAAAAAAACAGATCTGTTTTAATCAAACGAATCTTCGTCGTCTGTTGCAAAACAGCAGTATACTTTGTTGAAACGGCAGTGTCATGTTACTAAACAAATAAAAGTAACAAACGCACAAATGAGTCTGTGGGTGTGGATACATATGTTGATGCGACTTTTCTCTTCACCATCGATTGAATATTTGACTGTTTCGGTATTATACACGGCTTTACAGTGCTCAACAAAACTAGTATCCAACGTTTGAACAAAGTTGCGTGTGAGTGTGGATATTTATATTCGCATTAGTGTCGTTGTGCACAATACTATGCGCGTCCGTATGACACTTTTTGTCATAAATTCATCCAATCAAATCCATACCTACAAAGTAATATCCAACGAAAATCTAAATCAGAGTTGAAACTGGTCCGACCGGACCGGATTTTTGCCAGTTCATCATGACAAAATTGTTGTTTGCACCCAAGAATTTTCTCTACTGAAAACGGTGTTTTTACGGAATTTTCAAGTCAGAAGAATGTGTTTGCGAAAGACTCAATAGATATCTTGTCTTCAACTTGACTATAAGCGATTGATTGTTTTCTTTATAGCTCTATCGATTTCTTTCTCGTGTATTTGCTCAATTTAACCTAGATCAAATAATTTATTTTGTTGTTGTACTTAGGCAGCTACCTGAATCAAGAAAAATAAATATTTACAATTTTGTGTTAGATTTGTCATAAACTTGTTTTTTTTCCTGTTTTGAAACTAAGATGAAAAAACATATTTGATCTCAATAGCTAATTTATATCGATATCGGGCTCGAAAGGTTAACGCACCTTGCTATAAAATATGATAGTGAGTTTCATTCCCAAGTTTTAGTTTTCACTTCGGATTAGGAGTGGCGATTAGACATGTGTGGGACCAAGTTTTTTCGGTCTCGGCCCCGGTTCGATCTAGGTAAAGTTTTTTTTCCGATCCCAGTAAATTTCTTTTGTTGGTCCCGATCCCGGTCCCATCCGCAGTGATTTTAGTTTTTCGTAGGGATGCAACAAATCCAAAGCCTTACGCTTTGGTATTATTTGCTTTGGATTTGAGATTAGATTTTGATTTGATTTAGATTTGTTTTAGACTTGGAGGGCTAAGTTTGGATTTGGTCCCAAATGACCCAAATCCCAAAGGATTTGGTAAGATACAGTGTCATCAACAACGATCTACTTTACTAGGAGTGCGGCACAACTAGAAAAAGACTTTTCAATTTGGAGCCGAGTCTTTTGGATTTGGTCCACACGCCAAAATCCTCATCTGGTTGTACCGCAGCCCCAACACAATAGATCGTTGTTGATATCCTGTATCTTACCATATCCTTTGGATTTGGGTCATTTGAGTCCAAATTCAAATCAAATGCCAAAGATCTTGGTTCCAAACCTAAAAGCATTCGAGATTTGTTGCACTCCTAATTTTTTGGGTCTCGATGTTGATCTAAAGAAAACTAAACTAGTTCAGAATTTATTAGTATCACATCTGTAATAATTCTTCGATACTCGTTTTTCTGATTTATTTAGTCGATGCCTGACACTTTTTCGGCTCATTGTTTTTGAATTATGTTCTGGTTCATATGATTCACAAGGTAACTTGATTAAAACTATACAATATTTTACTATAGACTTCAGTTCAGTCCTGTCAGTTTTTTCGAGGTCTTGGCCCGGACCGAGACCAGGCCTGGGACTGGTCGAGCCTATCTGTAATGATAATGTGTTTTTCTTTTTGTTGTACAAGATATTAGTGTGAAAATATTAAATTGATTTATGATATACGAAAAACTACACTTGAAAACTGACAGAGGTAAGGATATCATATAGCCTCAGACTCAAGTTCCGATCACGGTAAAGATTTTTTTTAGTCCCGGTCCCGGTCCCGGTAAAATCTTTTTGGTCCCAGTCCTGATCCCGGTAAAGTATTTTTTATGGTACCGGTCAAGCTTCATTTTTTGGTCCCGCACATGTCTAGTGGCGATACCCTATTAATTTATTTTAAATTTAAATTTTTGCGAATATAAATTTAGAACAATTTAAATTTTTCATATATGAAAATTTAAATTTATTTGAAATGTAAATTTTAAAAAGTTAAATTTATTTTAAATTAAAAAAATTTTAAATTCAGTTTAAATCAATATAAATCCAATTCAAACGAAACAAAATTCAATTTAAATTGATTTAATTAGATTGAAATCTCATATGAATCCATGTAAATGGTTTGAAATTCAATTAAATGAATTTAAGTTGAATTTAAATTGATTTAAACTGGACTTAAATAAATTTAAAAAATTTACATAAACATAAATAATCTTAAAAAATGTAAATTTATGTAAATCCAATTTAAATTTAAAATCAATTTAAACTTACAAAATTTATTTTTGAATTTATTAAACTTTCGTAAATGTAAATTGATCATTCCTGGTTCGGATTTCTACACTTAAATATTCAATTCCCCTTCGTCACCATTTTACGCGAAGAGATACTTTCATGATCGGTTGTTTTCGCCGGATTTTTGCCAGGTTCGCTGCAAAATTCATCCGGCCGGTTGCTGATCGGGCCGGAACGGACGGAAAAAAGCTGTCCAGTTCCAACTCTGACCTAAATGAACCGCACTAAGGCAGCAGTATCCACACGATCCGTGAAAAGAGATTATATTCAATTTACAAAGAAGATCACCAAAAAAAAGCATATCCGTGACACTAGCGTGGAAACACATCATGCACATTAAAAACTCTAATAAAGGTCCGTATTAGTTACTAGCACATTAACCGATAATGTCATTTGCTAGTGTCGGCTACCAACATACGAGTTTCGCTGAACTTCTAGATTAAAATAAATCATATTTGATCAGACCTATAGTCGGGATATGCCACTTAAGTAACGTTCTTACTCCATATAGTCATCGAATTAGATAATTAATATCAATATACCCGAATGAATTTAGACATGTGAATGCACACAGATGAGAGTGCATAACAGCAGAAAAATTCATTTTATTTCATTCAAATCTCCTTCGAATGGAGTGAATCTGAATTCTATGCGTGATGTTTTCCATTAAATGTTCTATTCAGATATTGTGCACGTACAGCATAACTATTCTCACACTTCATTCGAAAATACTTCTTAGAGTTTTTGGCAGATCTAGACCGCAGATATTTATCCGATCGATTGCAACACCCTGAAGAGTTCCTTCAGTGAATTTTGCAGAGCAACGACTAGCCGCTGTTATTCTTAATTCTATTCTGCCATTAGATCATCTTCTTTGATTTACACCCTACCTGATTCCAGATGTGGATTAGTTCAAAAAATCGTTAGATTTATAACACGAAGATTCTCGATGTGAAATTTCAAAACCGAAACTTTGTTGTAAACTATTCTTTATGTCTTTAATTTCATCGTCTAGCTAGCCAATCTGATTTTTATTGAAATTCCTCACTAAGGAAGTTTTAATGCAGTATTCTCAAAGGTGTGGGTGTGACTGAAAGAATAACACCCATACCCGAAATTAAAAAAAAGCTTTTTTCTAAAATAAATTTCCGAACAGAATCTTTTGTGTACAAACGGAAAAAATCTCTAGTTTTTTTTGTTTTTTACAAAATAGTGTATATATTGTTGTTGCATTACTGTATGTATTTCTCTTGTCATCACGTGCCAGATAAGACACCCTATTCGATATAAACATGTACTATTTTCTTAGATCGATTTAATAAAATTCTTTTTCTTTTAACGTTCATAAAAAATACAGTTTAAGCTTATGACGATTATTTTTATCATGTTTAACTCTTGTTTGTTCGTATTTATCATTACAATTAACTGTTATAGATGATAGTTGTGATAAACATGCACATGAAATATCTGATAATGATTATTAGTTCTTATTGATTTGTTATATAAGATGATTAATATTGATTATATTATTTGAAGATCTTTTAAATGAAAATACATTAATCATGTTTCTTTTCTATTTCATCAAAATAATCATAATCAGACGAGTTAAAGTACTTACGGCTTATAAAATTGTAATGACCCATTCCATAATTCAAAAACTAAATCAAATCGAGGAAAATCCGGTTTTTTTTCTTAGATATTTTATGTTAACTATTTATTTAACTTTAAAATGTTTGTTGTTTTCTTTCAAAACTTCTCATACAGTGACAATTGGAACAAAATTGTGGTTAATCGGAATGTTTTGACATTATCCTCAGCTTTGTACCGTTTTCATTATATGGATTGATAGAGTTTAGTAGTTATCGTAATTGAAACATTTTTTATTGTTTTCTTGGTCAAGATCAAAGAAAAAAATATTGAAGAAAAATTCCTCTCTGAAATTTAAACTATTAATACAATATAAAGAGAATTATGTATACCCATTAAAGATTCTCTTCGTTGTTCAACTTTCATTTCTAGCACAAATTCATCATTTGAACATATGAATTCATTCGCTTATAACAATAAATCAAAATATTTTTCGGTTAAATAATTATTTAAGTGTTTTCGTTGTTCAAAATAAAAAAAACTGATTTATCTGACGGAAAAAATCGAATCAAAAACTGAAAAATTGATTCCTCTCGATGCATCGATTGAATCAATGAAAGACATACTCCATATCAAATATATTATTACAACATATTTTCTTTATTCACATGCACATATAGTTGCTCTCTCTCTCTCTCCTTCATCAACAAAGCCATTTCATTTGCATTCAAATATCCGGATATATAACAGCGGCTCTGCTCGTCATATGCAACTCTTCATGTAACAAAGCTCGATATGTTTGCTTGTTGACCGTTTATGTCCTTCAGTGCATATTTCGCATATATAAATTGATTTACGAATTGTGAATCGAAAGCAAGAAATCAATATTTGAATACGTATTTTCAATCGACCTAATCTTTTTGACCTTTATCATGGCTTATTATTTTTTTCGTCAGGAACATCTTGATGAATGTGCTGCAAGTAAGTTGTTAGCTAGAGAATTAAATGTATAGTTTTATTGTTTTGTTAAATTAATATAAATAGAAAATATGTTCGTTGTTTCATTTCTATATATTCTATTCGTTGACAATTTATTAATAATATAAGTATAACCATGAATAAGTCATAACTGTACATATAAATTACAAAACAAATACGTAGAAAATAATTTCTATTCGCAATCATATCTATCAGAGATTAACAGAATGTAGAAATCTCTGAGTCTTTCATGAAGAATTTCTCTGGTATTTGAACTTTCTCATAAAAAAAGTTCAAACTATAACTGTTTGATGTCTGATAGAAGGACGCATATTCATTATGTATATAGAATAGTGAATATTGATGAAAAAATAAGTAGATCTAAAGAGATGATGATCTCGATTAACTATACGTTCGTTCAATATATAGGATAATTATGTTTACATCCAAGCTGAGAAGTACAATGTTGATATAATTCATAACTCAGAATAGTATCCATTTAAAGCACATCGACAATAGAATTTAACGTTAAATAATAAAATCAATCTTTGCCTTGAAATTTTCCTAGAAAATGACTGAAATAAATCAAACAAGATCGATTATGAAATGATATAGTTGCTTTTTTATCAATGTGCTAACATCAAATAATAAATGAATAAATGAATCTTTTCATTTAATAGATTTCATTTGCATAACGATTGATTAATCATTTCTGAAAATATTCATAATGAGAATATTGTTTATTTAGAACTTGTTGAAATCGAAAAGAAATTAACCAATGAACAACTTAACTATTTATCTGAATGTATGTATACATTTATATATCGAGCCGCCTCAATATAATGTTGCTTAAACTAGATTATAGAATAAATCAATACCCGGGTCTGTGGAGTACTGAAGAAATAGCTAAACAGTAGAATATTGATGATTTTAATTTTTATATGGATTTGATGGTTCGTAGATTTTCATTGTATTTTGTTCATTTCAATATTCTTCATTTATAGGAATGGTTTTCTTGTTGGCGTATGGCTGAAGACGAACTTGCATACCGTCGATTTGAAGCAAAAAGAGCTCCAGCTTAGTTTGGTGAAGTCTCTGATCATTATTCTATTACAAAACAATATTTGATTTTCTTTTGTGCTAGGTATCACTGATAATGTGTTCTGTTTTTGTATAGAGTAAAATTAAGATGATCCGATAATATATTTTATCTCAATAAGAACTTAACGATGACTTTTATTGATCAATATTGATGAATCTTTGAAAATTTTTTATTGATTGATATTAAATATATATTTTATATCATAAAGATTTTCTACTAATCCGAGTTTATTTAATGTAAGTATGTATAGAATAGGAATAATTTGCCTCTTCTTCATTACAACAAAATGAAGAATATTTTTATCTGTCAAATTTCATGTTCGATTTCATCATGGATAAGACTATGTTTGATGGAACTTCAAATTTTGACAATCAGAAAAAAATACTTCTTTATAATATAATCGATTATTTATTTAATAGAGGTTTCGATAAAATATTTAATCAAGTTTGTTAAAAAGAATAAATAAGAAATCAGACGCATGACAAAGATTTATTTTCCAGTTTGCTATTGATAAAATAGAACTTGTAATAAGTTCAGAAATAGAAGAAAAGCTTTTGTTTGACTACAAGTAAAATCGATTAGTCTCAATTATGTTCTGTAGATATTCATTTAATATGTGCAACACATTTTCATATATCATATTCTGTATTCTGTCTAATAATTTATTGAAAAAAAAACTTGTTTAATTTATAAAAATGAGAATGAAAAGAGGAAAATGATTTTGCTAAGTATATTTAACACTCTCATAACTATATTAATCATATTGTTCTCTTTTATATTTGTCTGATAGAATAGCATATGCTTGATTTACTTTTTTAAATAAATCTTCAGCTTTTTTATCACCTGGATTTCGATCTAGATGAAGTTTTTTCGCTTTAATTAAATAAGCACGTTTTATTTCTTTATCTGTTGCTGTTCGACTAACTGATAATAAATTATATAAATCCATTGGAACTTGTCTTTCTTCTTCTCTTGTTCGTGATTTTGATTCTTTTGCACTAAATACAAAAATCATATTATACATTCATTTTATTCTCTTATATTAATTTTAAAACAAACGGTTGTTGTTGTTTTCTAAAAGATTGATATTGTTTATGAAAAGGAGCTGTACAATCATAAGTCAATTGTGTTGCATTCGAACAGTGATTTTGCCATTGTTGTCGATTAATTCTTTGTCGATAATATTTAGGATAATTTTTTACCGAAAGTCCAACAATTGTTGCAACAATAATTGCAATTGAAATTGAATTAGTAAATGTAAGAAAAGAAACAAGTGTAATACCAATCGATGGATCAATAAGTGAACCTAATGCAGCTAATATTGTCCATGCCATCGGATAAAAACCAATTAATGTTGCTATTGTTACGTTTAACTATAGAATATTGTCTATTACCAGTAACTTCACCTGTTATTCCATCCACTAAACATGTAAAATTTGTTTCTGAACCATATTCATAATTAATAACATATATTAGATACTATAAAAGTCGTTTGTTTTTTTGAATTAATATTAAAATGACATGAATGAACATTATATTCACTGTATTGAGGATATATCTATATGAGATAAAAACATTTTTAAATTAAGATAAATTTATTTAAAACTAAACCTGTTTAGCTTGCTTAACACATAAATCTTTAATATGAGGTATAATAGTTAAATTCCGACCAATATGAAATGCTGTATCACGACCAACAGTCCATTGTTCAATATTATTCTATTCATTATTAAGATTAACAATTTGACTATTATCAAATGAAATATTTAATTTATTTAAATGATATCTATCAAGTGTTTGAACTGCATAGATATTAACATTAATTACAGACATATTTTTCATTGTTATTGGTGCTGTATACCGTCGTTAAGTTGTAATAATATATTTTCCACGCTATTTGAAAAAAAAATAAAATCTATTTCAATAAAAAGAAGAAAACGAACAAACAGTAGTTGTTGTTTCATGCGCAAGATTAACTGAAGAATTAATTGAATCATAAAGAGATCAATTTCAAAATGGTAAATAACGACGCATAACTGTAATAGGATCATCTTTTGTTGATTGTGTTCATCCACCTAGTGCAAACCTCTTTGACAAAAAAGAATTATTATTTTTTATTTTAATTTGAATTATTTTATTTACCATAAAGATTTAAGCCATTTATCAAAATAAAGGCGAGCTTGATTTTGTAGAACTCACATATATTTTCGAAGAAAATAGTAAGTGTAAGTTTTAAGATCAAGGTTTCGCGACTCCCCGCCACCTCCTCCCCTTACAGACACATAGTAATGTAAGACTCCATTACAGACCGTAGCAACGCAACTCGCATCATCACAGAGTTGAACAAGTAAACTAAAAGTCGTCTATTAAATTTCGATATAATCCACAGGTATACATCAATCATTTCACTTCGAGTTTCAATTGTAGTTACAGAGGAAAAAATAAGAGGTTTGTACAGCGAAACAATATTCGGTCAAATTGTAAGATCAAGAAGAGTTACAAGGAAACGAGAATATGTAAAGTTAAACTACTGATATGTTGAGTACTATTCTAAACAAATGTCTACAGTATGAAAATAAATTTATCATTATGTAATTTGAAAATTAGAAATAAGTATGAATTCTTATTCTTCAAATGATAGGTGAATTCATTTATATTAAAAGTAAATTTAACCAGGTTGTAATTTCTTTTTTACGTGTTTGGATTAATGAAGGTGGTCCTCTGTATTTTTTTTAGATGATTCCGATAAAAAAATGTATTATTATAAAAATATTACTTTGAGTAATTAATAAGTAGTTTTAAACGATAAAAACACAAAACAGTTAATATTGTTATTTAAGTGTTATTTATAGATGAACTGATAATAATGAAAATTGTTTCGTAATTGTCATGCGACAAAATTTACAGTGAGAATTTTTCATTAGTTTTTAATTAGTAAAAGTTTCTGTCCATGAAATATTTACAATCATGCATGTGCCAGTTATTAACCGTTCATGTCCTGTGTTTAGATGTAATTTCGAAATATCTTCATGATTATTTGGAGTAATCTTCAATATTTAATGAAAAAAAATTCAAAGTATTGAAATGATAAATTTATAAAATTTTGGTGAATAACTTTAGAATCGAATTCATAGGCCAGCTTTATTACCATTGTCAGAGTAATGACGAAAAGAAAAATACGCATTGCGTTTTGAAGATGTGTTCGTAAACAAAAATTAGAACATTTCTAAATTGACAAAATGTTAAATATAACAAATGATTTTGTATTATATTACTGTTTATAATTTAAATGTATTGAAAATAGTTAAAGTATATAGTGTATATTTGTTAAATGTAAAAATTTGTAACATTTCGTTATGTTTTATTGGAGGTTTCTTATTAAATAGACCATTTATTATCATGATAAAACAATCACTTAACATAACTAAGGAAAGAGTTTTATTTTATTTTAAAGAAAGCGCATCTTTACGTAGTCGAAATGAATACCATCAGAAAAAAATAATAATCAACTAAGGTGTGGGTGTGGGTGTAAGTGATTTTCTCGTCTACACCCACCCACACCCACACCCTATATGAATGGCTCCTAAGCGCAAGTTCTTGTAGCATATGTTTTTTTCCACTGATAAATTCATTTTTGCGTGACCTTTGATGAACATTTCAGGAGATTTTCATTTATTTTTTTTAACTTGATAATCTTTATTTCCTGTCCAATAAAAATTCAAAGAAGTCGGGTTTATTATGGACTTAATCGAAATGTATTAACTAAGAAATGCTGACATTTCTTTTTCAAATCTTCTATGTTACTTGGTTGAAGTGGATTTTTTGCTGAACGACGAAAATAAATAACATATTCAGGATAAGCTTGACCGGCATCATAGAGAATAAATTCACGATGTTTCAATCGATCACCACCATATTTCATACTTTCACCCATTACTGAATCATACAATTCTTTACTGTGTGCTTTCTTCGGTGGACGACGAATACATTGCCCATTTGGACCATGACTGTATTTTTCTCTATCATATTTCAATGCTACATGCACATCGCCCAACGCAGCACGATAGAGAATCATTGAAAACTCGAGATCTTCTTGATTGATACAATGACATCCCAAAATACTACCTATAAAATTTTGACCACATCCAGGGCAAGGAATATATCGATTTGATTTTGAGGAATTCTCAGCCAAATAAAAACCACCTCCAAACCTACCCTTCAAATTGGAAACACGGGGATCATAACCATTATGTAACAAATGATATAAATTATTTTGGCTACATCCGTGAAAAAGCCAATATTCATTTGTTCGTGTGTCTAATAGAGGTGTCAGTACTGGACAAGTTTCCAAGTAAATTGAACTACCACAATCAGCCAGTCTATCATTATTTTGACGAATGATTATGTCCTAAAAATAGAGAATGCATAGAAATTAGTCGACTGAAAAAACAGTTATCAATCTAAATGAATTGATTTCAAAACATACAATCGTTATAACAAAAATCGATATACTTATCAAGATTTATATTATAAGTGGGCAATCTTTCAAAAAAAACGTTCGAATATTTCAAGAATGTATTCAAAAGCAAGAAGAGTAATATTAAGGTTAAGTGGAACATCAGTTTTATCTTAAAAAATTATAAGAAATGGATGATAACTATAATGCTGCTGCGCAGTATAACAAGTATATTTTTTCAAAGCCAAGGAACCAATTATTACTGAAATACATGACTTCATACACTGTATCTGTTAGAAAGTCAAAGTGACGCACTTTCTGTCAAATATGTAGCACCTCATACTTGCAAAAAAAAATCGAGAAACCTAATTCAGATTGATGTAAAAAAGTCAACTTCAGTATTAAAATTTCTATTTGACTATGGACATATCGATATGGACGTTCGTTGAAACTAAGACTATATATATATATATATATATTTGTATGCAGAACAAAAGGAAGCAGCTCAATGCAAATCACAGAGTTGACAACTCAGCTGAAAAAGAGTTTTATTTGCGTGACAATATTGCCGCATATATGTATTATCAATTAAAGTACTTCTAATATAACGTAGCAATATCACAATATAGATCAAATCTATCTGAAAACAGTAACGATTAGTCATGATTGTTCAATGTATATAGTTTCGATCCATAATAAAATTTAAAATAATACAAAATCAAAGTGTTTTCAGTAAATAATTTATGAAATACAGTGAAACAATATCGCTTATATATTCAAATATTTCTACTTTACTTAGATAAACCGGTAAGCTAGTGTCGAAGAGTAAGTTTCTGAGAGACTAAGACATCAATCATGGAGTGGTATATCAGAATTTTCTGATTTTTAAAAAAAATTTATTATAGAGAATAATGAGTCTAGTAATCATTGAAATTTTTATTGATGAATATTTTCTAATACTTTAATTGTTTTTAGAAATGAGATAGTTTTGACGAATATCTGATTACTTTTTGATAAAATTCATTCTGAAAATTTTTCGCTTTTTATGATATTTTGTATGGAAGTGATCCTTCTGTAAGCATATCGTCTTTTTTGCTAACACTAAAAATGTCGAAGGTCTGATTTAGCAATTTTATGCCAGTATCTTCAAACGTATTTTAAGGATAATAAAGAAAAGATGACTGTCAATCAAAAGTGATTGATCTCTCATTTTGAAAGACAAAAGTAATAGTGTTCGAAGAAAATTTGCAAAAATTAAAAAATAGTGGTCTTAAGATAAGTGATAGAATCAAGCTGAAAATTTTCAGTGATTACTAAACTTATTATTCTCTACAAAATATTTTTTAAGAAAATTAGGAAATTCTGAGATGTTACTTCATATACTCATGCATAAGAATCTATTGCAAAGAAAGACGCTGTTTTGTTTTCAAGACTTCTCATACAAATATGTTGTATTTTGAGATTTTCTTGGCACCCAATGTATGTGTGTGTGTGCGCTTGTCAGGAGAAAAACAATTTCAATTACTATCCTATCAAAGGAGTACTTCGACTTGATGTTTCCTTAAAATTTACAAGAATTTTTGAAGTCTTTTTTGCGAAATCAACTCTCTCACCTTTTTGAAGCAATAAAGATGCCATAATTCATTATTATGTATTCGTACTATTCTGTTTATTAAAAATTTCGTTGGATCTCGATTATTAACCGTTCCGTATTGATTGTCATGTTTTGATATTGTTGAATTCAACAGCTGTTTGATAATATTAAATTCAGGTGATTGACTCGATAATTCGATTTCACGATAAGATTCTTCAAATGCATTCAGACCCCAATACATCGGTGTCTGTCTTGGAATAGCCAAAATTTGCTTTCGTTCTAACTCACGTCGTTCACGATGATCTATTTCTTCTTCAAGTGTCATTTCTAATTGTTGATTATATGTAACCAATTTTGTTAGATCTTGACTCAATTTTGTAACTTCTTCCTCTTTCAATTGTAACTGAACGGTCAAGTTTTCTATTTTATTTTGTATCAATTCGATGAAATGAAGTTCAGATTTCTTCCGTTCTTCACGTTTTCTTTTTAGTTTGAGCTTGCATTGATTAGCAGGCCTAGACGTAGGTGTCATTGAAGAAGGACTATCATTGCTAATGACAGGGGTGCTAACGTCATCAAACTTCGAGGATTTTTCTTGACTTTTATGATCAGATGGATGTGAATAAAGCTCAAAATGACTAGGATGTGTACTATAACATGATAAACCATATTTACATTGTGGAAGTGTCTTCGTAGATAATATGTCACTTGAAGGTATCATGTCCTGCTCATTTGTGCTATGTTGAGCAACTTTATTATTGTTATTCACTGGAGAAGGACTTGTATTTGAAGTATGATCTCTTTTGTGAATGGGTGAATGCAAAAACTGCTCAAAATGGTTACTATCTCTTATAGAACATGAAATGCCGTATTCACATTGAGAAAGCATAGTTGTTTGGGATGACGGTTGAACTGATCTTTGTTTAAAATTTGTAGCTGTTTTATTCTGATTGTATTGATCATTGTTATTAGTTGTTTCATGACAGGTAGATGTTTGAACAGCAGATGATCTATGTTCATTTGAAGTTACAGTATTTTGATGGTGTTGTTCGTCTTGAAAACAGTCACGACATATATTCGGCTTAAATACACTTGGATTAAAACTAATACAGTGTTCAGCCATCAAGGAAGCAAGATTGAAAAGTAGACTTTTCTAAAAACAAAAAAAGAGTACTTCTGTGAAGACAACCAGGTCATGTTTTTTTATTGCTAGAAAAGATGCGTAAGTAAGGAGAAAATGATTATTTAGTATCATGTGTGCGAAAAACGACTATAGGTTACTATGAAGCTATGACAACGAGTAAGTTGAAATATTTAGTTTTTCTTTTTTTTTTGGTTCATCGCAGAAATGTGGCAACTACTTTTGAATCATATCGGTCGTATGAAACTAAAGACTACACAGGTAAATTATGTAGTACGAAATGTTTTACAAAGTCGAGTATAAACCTTGTATAATAACACATTTTTCTGCCGATTGACAACAAGGTTCGACTCTAACAATATTCAAACCTTTTGGTGAAAGATTCTTCCAAAACTGATGTTTAACGTATATTATCCACTACTTATTTTCATAAATATTCAAAGATCATCTATTTGTTTAAATCAAAAAGTACAATAAAAACTAGAATTTATGCAATAAAATTGCTCATAAAAATTTGACATTTATAAACCCGAGAATAATGATATAATTGATGCTTAAAAGATCAAAATTTCATGCACTGAGTGAACCCATCAAAGTTGGACAAGCAAAAATTGATCGTTATGAAAATTATTCGAAAAAGTTTATAATAAAATGACAATAGTTTGTTTCCGAAAAAAAAACTCAATATTATGGGAAACAGTTAAATAGGTACAAAAGACATAATAGACAGAAATCACTTAGCAATCTTGAGATTATTACAAATATACCTTGCTTTTTTGACATAAGTATATCGTTACAAAATTATAATATCTTTTTTTTTTTATTAAAATTTTCATAACAAAAGATTGTAAATAAACAGCTATCGAAAAATTATTGAATCTATCAGAGAATATTTAAATACGTACGGATCATTCGATTACACAGTCATAACTCGCACTTCTGTTTACAACAATTAGACGGCTGTGATTCTACCTTCTAAACTGCTATTTTTTTCTTTTGTATCTATGTAACTTATCTGAGTCAATTATCAGTTCTACATAATATTATTAAGTCAATTTAATTAGTGTCAACTATACATTTACACCTGAATGTGTGAGCTTTTGCTCTTTTATTCCGAATTTCTCAGCTATTCTTCATAACAAACAATTTTTGTTCGGTTTCTTTTTCTAGCTTTATCTCGCTCAAATGTCACTTAATGACTGTTCAAATATGATAATGAAAACTGTTGTTCAACAAAAGACTGAAACATGATAATTAGTATTTCATCTTGCTGTTTTTTTTATAAAATAATAGATAATCTGTATTACGTTCGTATTTTTCAAAGCGTGATTGATTATATTTCAAAACCCCCTTCGACTCGATTCAAACTGTTATTTTCGTCAATTAGAAGAATTTTAATGTCACCAACATCACAACGAAAAAAAGAGTGGGATTTAAATTCTTGTGAAGTAGGAATATCTCTTAGAATGAAGTTTCCATTCGACTAAGAAGTCTATAAAACCACTCCGAAAGTATTGATCGTGTAATTTTTTTCACTTTTTTTTACCTTCTTGTTTATACGGCTGAGGTAACTTTGTTGTTATTTATAGTGCGTGACTAATAAAATGATTCGTTTACCAGTGACTTGTAAGTTATTTTGTAACTCTTTCAATACTAAAAAATCAGTCACTCATACGTTTTATACATCCTATTGGTTCTATCAATTCCTCAGCGACTATAAAATAATAATGATAAAATTCAATATTAGTAAAACAAAACGACTTACTTTGTATGATGTTATTGTCAATAAAAACGACCATGCACATATAATATATATGTGATACTTATGATGCATATATTAAAAGGAAGAAGAAATTCAGTAGATGCAGAAAAGGAAAAAAATAGGCAGAGAAGAAAGGTGATGATACGGCCAATATTGCAAAAAAAAGAACACGTTTCACTATGTTGCACGAGGTGTGTTCGGCGTTTCGAAAAAAGTAAATTTCCCCCTTCATGGAAATTTTTATCGTACTTTCACGACCCATCGAAAACAGCGACTACAAACTTATGAGAAGTTACCAAAATTTCTCGAAATTTACATAAACTAATCTTGACAATGAAACTGCAAATTATCCCATACAAGAGAAATTTCTCCATATTTACAACAAAATTTTCCAGTAAATTCTGAAATTTCCTTAAGCAAATTATATAAACATATATATACATATGATGAAAAGAAGACTCTATCCCATGATTTAGTGAAAATTTTCATAAAATATGTCCGAGAAAATTTCGAAGTTTATCGAAATTTTCTGGAAAGTACTATATTTTGTAACAGTTCGTTTCGATTGCTTTAATGGTAATTTGCAAACTTTCCAATCGGTATGATATTTCTATGAGAGTAATTTCTGAAATTTGATAATTTATGAGAGAAATTTACTTTATTGGAAGTTGGAACATCACTGCATACAAGCATGGTAAGTTACTTGACACGACTTACTTTTGTTGTTCGAACGGAGAAGATATCTTCCGATATTGATTAGTTGTTACATTATCGATTCGGTGCTATTGAAAGTGAGAGGAGTATTTAGTTTGTATTGTTTTGTGCAACTCTCTTATAGCCGCTGCTGTCGTTCATTGGATGCTATCGTTTCTGAAATATTGCGTTGGTCGAGTTCCTTTTTCACTTTCAGTCCTAGTGCACTTCGATAGCAAGTATATTAGATGAAATTGTAGAAATCAGCGAGTATGTTCGAGTGTTATACCAAAATAATGCAAGAGTTCTCCCGCAATAATGCATCGAAATTTCTAATGTACACCGATTGCTGGAGCGCATGTTATGAAATGAAGACTAATTTTTTTTTGCGTAGATAATAACTATCAATAAGCCATCAATAGTGACGGGTAATCGTAAGAAACGACAAAGAAAAATAGAAAAAAATTAAATGGATACATTGTTCAATTTTGTTGGACTAAAGTTTGAATACTAACACACCCTTTATTTCAGCATCACGGCGTGGGGACGCGAAGCGCCCCACGAAGAGCCGCGACCCATGCACGTCTCTGTGTAAACCATTATTCCTACTCAGTGCTGCACAGTAGCTCAAGTTTCTCACATACTTCCTGTAGTATCCTAGGGAATGTCTGTAGCATCATAGAGGATGCTATAAACATCCCAGACAATACCTGTCGGTGTTAGATGATTCTGGTGACTTTCCAGGAGTTGACTAATTGAGTACTTGAATAGTTGAATACTTGAATTCAGCTTTCAAATTTGACACTACTGGTAGTTTTAGAAACTTTCCCATAGCATCTGGCAAATATGTTGCATTATTTTCTAGACGAGAAAAGGTAGATCTTGAAATTTTCGTTATCCATGATGTCTAAATAGAGTTGAACAAGCACTGTGAAAAATAGAGAAAAGTATATTTATAGCTGTGAGAATGAGAATGTGAAGTGTGAGGCGAGAGTGTGGGTCGATGTGGGTGTGGGATGTAGAGTATGAATGTGAGTGAGGTTTGTGTGGATGTGCATGAAGAGAAGACTTACACCCACACTCACGCCACCATTTGCATATCTGCACCTACACTCCTGGACGCAGCATCCTCCGTTAGAAACATAGAATTGTTTCTTTCCAAGTAAATCTGACATAAGATCACAGTAGACATCCACTAATTCCTCAAAGGAATCGTTTGAAAATCACTAATGTGATCGAAGATTCTTCAATGAAATGCAGGAAGTAATAATATTTGCGTTGATCGAGAGATTCGTACCAAGTACTGTTCTTTACATTGCTACGGTGCAAACTCATCATTTAGCAGGTGTAAAGCACAATACTGTTTTGAACAATGCTACTGGAGCATCAATATTCTTGCTTTTATTTGTTTTGTTTCATCGTGGTGTTTTTCTCATTAGATACAAAGAGAGATTGGCATGACTGACTTCTTCTTTCTATTTCTGTAATAAGCTCAGGTACTGCATAGAAGCAACACCATTGAATCATTCAATTACGTGGAAATGTTGGAAAGATATATCGCCATTCTCTTCTAAAGAAAAACGATTCTTGTGTATCGAAGTGAAAAGCGAAACAATAGATATATTTCTTCCGAGTATCATGCTAAAGATCTTCGGAAGTGTGGATGAGACTGATACTGAAATAATCTATTTAACAGTGCCAAATGCATTGCTCATTGTTACAGGGGTCCTCGACTGTAACTTGATTAATAGAATATAATCGGATTTTCTGGCTAACCAACTCTTAACAACTTCCCTTTTCTATTTATTTCTTTATTGAAATTCTTAAGGGCGAAGGAAAGAAGAAAGAGGAAAGAAAAGAAAAGAAAAGAAAAAAAAAGATTAACTTATTTGTACAAGAATGGATAACATATACTAGAATGAATACACATACACATAACATATGATGAAGAATAAAATATATAATAATTCATGATGAATGTTGTTACAACGCTCTCTAATACTCATTCAAGATCGTCCATGTCGATGTATTCCTAACTAAGGTATGGAGATGAGTATATTCTACTATCCATCCACACTCATCTTGAAGTATCAGTTATTGTTTAGTAAAAGATCGAAAGAACTATTCAGATTGATTTCATGCTTGTCTAAAATATCATGAGGTATCTTCTAGAAAACTATTATGTGGAAAAAGTACTGATTAGAAAATATAAGAATAGACATGTCAGAAGAAAGTGAGGAACATTTTTTCTCAGGGAAGAGTTCGAACTCGGAATCGGATCATAGCTATCATTTCCAAATGGCCGACTGATATTCAAGAATTTCATTGAATATTCTTGTCCTAATGGAGTAGCACCAACGAAATCAAGAGTTGTCGGAAGAGAGCGAATACATTGTGGATCACTCCATTCCGATGGAAAATTATTTGGAAATGCCCATGCTAACATTAAATGCAATGGACAATAAAATCCAACTTTGGCAATATTTACAGTAACATGTCCAGCTAGTGGAATACCATAGAATGTTCGTGTTTTTGATGTGATTGATGCGAGTTGAGAAGCTAGAGGGAAAGTTGTTGCCGGATCCAATTGACCTGAAAGCATTAACAATGGTGAATACGAGGCCACCTTCGCATAATATTGATCTAATGGATATTTTGGCCATTGAGCACGAAATGAAATCGTCTGTTCAGAATTGTTTGGTGCCATGAGTGTCGATCTATGCCAAGCAAGAACAGTTTCTTTGTCGATTTCAGATTCATTTGGTGCTAACCACCTCTCCGATTGAATAATGTTGAGATAAAGAACTTTAGAATTTAGAAATCCAGGACCATTTTCTTTCGTTTCCGTTTCATCAGTCTTATTTAAACTTGAACGAAAGAAGAAATTCAATACCTGTACATCCTCTATATTGCAACGATTTAAACGAAATATTACAGCTGGAATTACAGTACGATCCATATAAGTTTCTCCCGATTGGATCATCTTAAAAAATAAATTGCGTAGAGTTTCGGAATTGATTTGATATTCGTTGAAATACTCCTTGATACATTGTTGCTTATTGGTATCTAACTCGGCTAGAATGCGATAGAGCATGACATAAGGTGGTTGATCGGTTGGAAAATAGCTATGACATTCTGGTTGTAGCTGGCAATAGGCTAGGAATTGTAATCCAACGTTTGATGCAAGCAAATCATATCGACTGACAGACGCCAAAATAGGATTGATCACACCATCCATAATTGCTGATGGAATTAATGTAGGATAGATCTGTAGAAAACGATCTAACCATAAGGTACCATATGAAACAGCGTAAATTGAAATACGTCCAGGATGATCAGCTTGATAGACTTGTATTTGTACTGATAAATCATGTGCAGCTGCTGTTATTGAAAATTGATTTAATCCTTCGATATCCCATTTTGATATCAAATAAGTAATACAGTCTGTCGTAATTGTTTGTGAATCATTATCGTCACAACCCAACACTGTCGATAGTCCAGTACCTCGATGATCAGGTAATATTATGGTAAGCCCCAATTGAGCTGGAATGAGTAATGCAGCACTTTCCAGCAGGTTCCAACCTGATGCACCTGGTCCACCCATTAGAATAAATAGAGTATTATTTTGTGATGTTGATTGAAGAGGACTCAGACGAGACATAGAAATGGTAATGGATCGATTCGGTCGAGCATAATTCAATGGCACTGATAAGGTGCAGCAATCCACCTTATATTCACGATATATAGATGGATAACCAGTCACATTGCATGTTGACCAAACACAGCGATGTCCAAGAGCATATTCAGTGGTGTTGAGTGCCATGACTACCGAGTCTGCTCGAGTATTGTTCTCTGTCAGAATTAAAATCAATAGCAATGCAAAGATTTGATGTATCATACACAGTATCGATAAAGACTGCGTCTTATGCTTGCACATTTTTCAGCAATCTAAAGAAGAAATTCAACTTTATTATTACGCTTTAAGAACTCCAAATGATATATAAGAAATGTAAGTCAGATTGCACAGGTTAGTCATTACCTGATATTCCACTTTATCAGTATCTACTAAACGACTCAAAATCATTACGATTGACAAAATAAAAAAGGCAAAATGTGCATGAATCTCTATGGAATCCCATATCATATCTGCATTCATGAGTTCTCATTTCGAATTACACATGGAAATGGGAGTAGATGTCTAATTCGAGTTCGAAAATAAATGAAAAAGAACGGCTTTCATGTTCGAATAGCAAAAGAAAGCAAAGGATAAATTTCCCATGTTTTCGATTGCGATCGAATTATGACGCAGTTATGCCGTAACTGCGATCACAGTTGCTAAATAATAGACGACATGGGATGGTTCGATAAACCAAAGATCAAAATGACTGATTATGGTCGTAATCGAAAATATGAAAAACTTCTAATGAAAAATTTTGGATTCAAGATAGATCGCCTTTTTTCTGGACACATTTTTTAAGTAGGATTCTTAGTTTTCAAGAAAAATGTTTTCTGTTTATCATATTACCTTGTCCGGAATGTTTGTGCAACTGATATACTATGAAATCTTAGGTTAACAAGTACTGTATTTATTCTATCTAATTGCCTTCGCTAGCGATCCCACATTGCCAATGAGCTACGTGTGACTATTAGCCAAGGTCATTGTATTGATTAAATGCAGCAATTGTTATCCTAAGGTTTCATAATATATGAATTGCACGGATTTTCCGGACAAGATAATAGTTGGTTTGTGAGTGAGAGCATTCATTTGATTCGACTATGAACGATCTTCTTAATATATCGTTGCATGGCCTTCAATTGTTAGTTAATACAGAAAAAGTTAGCGAAACACAACTAGTGTCGGATTCCTTTACGAAGCCCAAAACTCTATTTACGAAAAATATGCACAAACAAATCATATATATAAACCATGCAGATCAAAAAATCTTACGAAAAATAATAAAGATTGTAGAATATAAATTCTATATTGTTTTTCAAGTTTGCCTTTGTTCAAAATTCCTTCAATCAATGTTTTTGAGCAAAAATATGTTTACAAAATCGTTAAAAAAGAATAATTAGCATTCATACTTAAGTTCATCAATGCGACCATTTACTGATATATTAAAGCACTCGTCAGTAGTTGCAGAATTCAGAAATTACGAAAGATTAAGAAATGAAAGGAAGTAGTGAAATACGAATCTATAATACTAATGGGTTATACTCGTATTTAATTTCGTTAGTAAAGCCATCATCTAAAAACGTTTGGAATTCGACAACAAATCAGAAAAAAAATCGGAAAAATGTTCAAATTTCAAAAACTTTCCTGACTTTTCAGAAAATCTGACAACCTTGATTTTAATTGTAAGTGTGGATGAACATGAATTCGGTTTTCTTGAGAAAACACTAATCACGTAAAAGTAGAGAAGGATAGACCAAAGAGAAGAGAAACAAGAGCACAGATCAAGAAAACACACACAAACATATATATACACACAGAGTGATGCATAGAAGAGAAAGGAAAAATCCAATGACGTATATGTGAAAACATAAAGGAAAAAACCAAGATGTGAAATGACGTAGTTCATAGGGAAAATGTTCGTGTGTGCTGCACAGATACATATTTGAAGAATCCTCAACACTAACTTATGTATGTCTTTTTTTACGCTATTAATACTTTGTTGGATCAAAAAAGTTTTGACCTATCAATAAAAACCTTGCCCAGATCGCCCATTGGTTTTTTTTTGACACGAGATAATCCATGTCAAAGTTTTGATTCAAAAAAGTTACTATTAAGTACTTTCAATATTTTTTCACTAAATGAAAAAAGTACTACTTCTTACTGTCGAAAGTACTACAAAGATTCTTTCAGAATGATATTTTACTAACCGTATTTTAGTACTTTTTACTCTTTTTCTTTCCAGCATAGTGAAACTAGAAGTTGGGTATCAAGATATGGCCCGTGTGAAAATTTTTTCCATTGTAAGCTATTTATAAACAACTTAGATTAGCTTGTTTTTGCGTAGAAAGCGCTTGTAAGCGCACATTTTAAGCTACTTAGTGCTTCGAACATATTGACGCACTTATCAGCGATTAAAACAATAGTAAAACTTCTTCCAAGTCACTTATGGCAGCTGAAAAAGTCGAATTGTAAGTTCTTACCAACGGCTTAGAACTCATCTGTTGGACAGTAGATGATAAGTACTTAAGTGATTCGTTATATTTAATCGCCTATCATCTACTATCCAATAGATGAGTTCTAAGCAGCTGGTAAAGACTTAGAATTCGACTTTTTCAGCTGCCATAAGCGACTTGAAAGAAGTTTTACTATTGTTTTAATCGCTAATAATCGCTTCAATCTGTCCGAAACACTTTTAAATGGCTTAAAATATATACTTACAAGCGTTTTCTAAGCGAAAATATAACCTATTTTAAGCTAGCTTTATCGCTTTAATTTTCACATGGGGAATGCACAGTGGACATTCTGTACAAGTACCTTATACGAAAATTAACGAGTAACTCATTTGATATTTTTGACTGAAAACAGTGTTTCTTATATACACTCATAGTACGAAAACACTGCAGTTATTGTCTAGCGGACATAGTTTATTTTTTAGCACTTTCAGAAATAATAAAAAGTACTTTTTACCAGTGAGTATGATTATTAGTAAAAAAAAAGGCACTATTAAGTACTTTTGGAAGTGGAAAAAGCATGAAAAAATACTTTAAAAAGTGAAAGATAGTAGGAAAAGTTACTTTATTCTACTTTATTAATATTAAAAGTACTTAAAAGTATTTTTTGTCACTTTTTTTTTTTACATGGGTTATCTTTGAACGATATTATTCATTCTGTTAAGAAAAATAATATATCTTCTCTTTTCATATATTCAAGGTATTTCAAGATGACTCGACTTATCCTTTATGGATAAGTCAACTGATTCTGCGATCAATTAGAATGGTAAAGAAAGAGATCACATATTTTTCTTCATAGACAAATCGGTATACTCACGAAGATTAAAATATGAGTAAATAGACATATGAAGCTTAACGTATTTGCAATTCTGAGTAATGCTTACTGTTTATCAGTTAATCCTTCATCAATACCCTTGTCTTTGTTTTCTTTTTGTTGCTTTCGTTTTTTTTATTCTTCCTTGTTTTTGGATAATTTGCAATAAAGTATGGATCTATTGTGATTCAATGACGATAATTGATGAGAACCAATTGGATTCTTCAATTGTTTTGGCTAATTATTATTAATGTTTGCATTATGTTGAATTTGTCTTTGTGAATTCAATTGACTTCATTTTCGATCTTTGTTAACTGATTTCGGCAAAGGAGGTCGCTATTAACATAGAAATACTCTATTTTGCAGTGACGACAAAAGCTGCATAGCATTTATGCAAAATATCTATTTTGTTTTCTAATCAATTGATTAGCTTATTTCGATGGGAGTCAAATGCAACATTACCATGTCTTCCATATAATACCGAGAGCTTTGGAATAGAATGATATCGTTCTCTCTCGTTGTACATCAAGAACATTCTTCGTGTTCGATAAATAGCACATTTTCTCCTTCTGTCTTTTACGTTCTTATTATTGGGCTCGTCTTTCTTTCTTTTCTTCTATCTCGTGTTGAAAATATAGTGCAGACACTGCGGTCTCGTCTCTCTTTTTTTTCTATAAAACTCTCGCGTGTGTGCTTGTCAGCATGGTTGATACAGAGAATGGCAAAAATATTGAAGAAATATCATCAAATATGATAGACGTTGTGATTGTCGGCGCTGGTTTTGCCGGACTTTACATGTTATATCGTTTACGTGAAAGCGGATTTTCAGCAAAAATCATCGAAGTCGCCGATGGCATCGGTGGCGTATGGCACTGGAATCGTTATCCAGGAGCTCGTTGTGACATTGAAGCAATGCAATACTCGTATTCGTTCTCGGAAGAATTACAACAAGAATGGAAATGGTCGGAAATATTTCCTACTCAACCAGAAATATTACGTTATCTTAATTATGTGGCAGATAAATTTGACTTACGCAAAAATATTGAGCTCAAAACTCAGGTGAACGCTGCCATTTTCGACGAGACTCACTCTCGATGGGAGATACAAACAAGTCGAGGTGACCGAATATTGGCTAAATTTTGTGTTATGGCCACTGGTTGTCTCTCGGCTTCTAGAATTCCTAGCATTAACGGACTCGAGACTTTCAAAGGACATTATTATCATACAGGTCGATGGCCACAGACAGATGTCAATTTTAGTGGTCGTCGGGTTGCCGTTTTCGGCACTGGTTCATCTGGAGTTCAAATAATTCCGATTATTGCTAAGCAAGCCAAGCATCTCTTCGTATTTCAAAGAACGGCAACTTTTACCGTTCCAGCACGAAACAAACCACTCGAACCAGAATATGAACAATGGTGGAAATCGAATTATGCTGAACATCGAAAACAAATGCTGGAAACGATTACTGGCTGTTTAGCTCTAGGCATGAAAAATTGTTCTGCAATGTCGGTGACACCCGACGAACGATTGCAAGAATATGAAAAACAATGGCAAAAAGGAAGTCTCAATTTTCTAGGTTCATTTAACGATCTAGTTTTCAATCAAGAAGCTAATGATACAGCAGCTGAATTTCTACGCAGCAAAATCCGTGAAATCGTTGAAGATCCGACTGTCGCTGAAAAATTAATCCCACGTGGTTTTCCGCTCGGGGCTAAACGTCTTTCCCTTGACACCAATTATTTCGAGGCATTCAATCATGATAATGTAACACTAGTCGATCTTCAACAAGCACCAATCGATGAAATCACACCGACTGGAATTCGAATCGGTAATAAAAATTATGAATTAGATGACATTGTGTTTGCTACAGGATTTGATGCATTCACGGGAGCATTGTTCAAAATTGATATTAGAGGCCGAGCAGGTAAAACACTTCGAGATAAATGGGCTGATGGACCATGTACATATCTTGGTCTTATGACATCAGATTTTCCAAATCTATTTATAATGACCGGTCTTGGCAGTCCAACAGTATTCGCCAACGCAGCTCTTTGTATTGAACAAAATGTTGACTGGATAACCAATTGTCTTGTCTACCTTCGCACGAATCATTACGAAACAATCGAACCGAACACAGAAGCAGAGAATGACTGGGGAAAACATGTAAATGCAGTTGCTAATTTTATTCTCTTTTCTAAAGCTGACTCTTGGTTCAATGGAGCGAATATTGAAGGCAAGCCAAGGGTTTTCATGCCATATGCAGGTGGTGTCAATAATTATCGAAAGAAATGTCAAGACGTTGTAGTGAATGGCTACCAAGGTTTTATCTTAGCGACGCAGTAATTGAAATACATCGCTCTTAAATGGATTTAAATGACTACAAAAAACTTAGATTAACTAGTTTTCTATTACTACTAATTCTTTTTTCAATAAATGATCGTAATTATTTGTATATGTGAAAAATGAAATATCAACAATCTGCAAGACATTCCATTTACGTCGTCTCATATGGTAGCTGGATTACACAGCACAACACATAGGTAGTCTGTCTTCTGTGATCTCATATTTCTTCTATTGGTCAAGAAAAAAAAACGGACTAGATCAGTACTAAGTCAAATTGAAATTTTGTTCCTAGGACATAAATTATGAAGACTTATGGAACTGATGGATTCTTCGTAGGCTCTTTTTGAGAACAGATTAAAATAAATCGAATATTTTGTTCAAAACTAAAACAAGAGCAGAAAAAATGGAGGCTGTTCTAAGCGAAAGTGATAACTTCGAAAACAATTTATAAGCTTTCTCAATAAAATAAGAAATGAGAACTTCGCTCGGTCATGAGAAGAGAACATAGTTCCATGAGGGACAACGTGGTGAAGATAAACTGTTTTCTTTTCAATAGACAACTTTCTTTGAAAGAAAAATTTCGCTTGTTTTGATTCACCGATATGTTGGCCATGACTTCCTATAAGAATGATGATAATTACACCTACTCACGAGTGGTTTATAGAAAGTGAGTATTAGCTTTTGGTGTGGATGCGGGTAGATGTGAATGTTGGTCTTCTCTAGGTATGCACCAGAATCCAATAACAACTCTTCACTATTTCAAACTTATCTCCTTGATTATGAACTATATCAATAGACTGTCGCGCCACATACGTATATAAAAGACTGTCTTCCATTGACAACAAAATGAAGAATGATCCAATGAGCTCTTTGAGTTTAATAAGAGATTCAAAAGGAAACGGAAAAAGAACCCAAATCTATATCCAAACTCATTGGATTTGAGTTTTTCGATTGCCTCTACTACATAATCTGACAACATATCCAAAATCCCTTTTCAGGTGGGGTGCGGATGTGCATGTGGGTTGGATGTTGTTCTTTTCTTGACCCACACCCATACATCCACACCCACACCCACACCCTATGGACTCAATATAAATCTATTTTAACTTAGTCTCCTCTTGCAAAATCACAGGTCGGCTCAAAGTTTCTCATGTAAAAAATTATAAATTTAACGACTTAACAACATTTAATATTAGCTTTTTGACCATGAAAATGTGTTAAAAATATTTTTTTGTCGAAATCTTACGTATTATTTCTCATTGAAACGAAATCAACCTAAAATAACTTGTCAGACTTCATTAAAAAGCATATTTTTACGGCGTTTTCAATCAATCGTTCTTCAATATTCTCGTTATCTAGTATTTTCTTCCGATATAGAACCTCGTTGGATAAAGAAACACATATTATCGATTAATGATTACATTAAATTGCCGATTTGTTACCTCCATGTTCTCTCACTAATATTCCTACACTAATCTTCGTTCACTTACTATCAACTTAGATATCACTTAGCAACTTGAATTAAATGTTGAAAATTAGTTTCCCGTGACTGCTATTGTTTCTATATTTAATGTGCTTGTAAACTGTTCTGATCAAATTCAGCATGATTCTTCAAAGATATCGAGACCAATTATTAACAGTGCACAGGTAAGATCATTAAACATCCAACACTGTTTTTCGAAAACTATCTATTTGAGGCAGCGCAAAATGCACACAAAGATTGTATTTTATCATGTTCAACTATTCGACATCTATGGATTTCGGAATGTTATGAAGAGAATCTATGGAAACTTTGTGTATGACACCTGAATTGACCTATCTTAAGATCGGGCTATTTGTTGCACGAATAATCAGCCATCCTTTACATACTACGCCTAGCCAAATCATACAATCGGGATGTCCAATAGAGTTATATATGATGATAACTGAATGGCACAGTTTTAATGATCTCAATCTACTTATCGGTTATTGCCAAGCATTTCTTAGGCGGATCATACTCAATCTTGGACGAGACCTGATGATTGATGGAAGAAAACTCGAAATTTTGCTCACACCATGCATATTTCTTCAACACGTTTCATCCATAATTCAATTTTCAAAGAGAAAAATTAATATTTCGAATTTATTGCACTCATTTCAAAGTAAATGGTAGTCTGACGCTCAATGCCCACCTGTACTTACCCATAAAACTGATTTTGATTATATTTAGATTATGTCTGTTTCTTGTTCTTTCTCGAATATCTTGAGACATGTTCAATTCTCTAATGATCTTAATTTATGGCATTTCAATAAAACAAAAATTGATGCATTACCGGTTAATTCAATAAAATCGACCACAATTTCCTTATCGAGTAAAAATCCGATTAGTCTCTACTTTTTACTGTTTGTTGCTTGTATTTTTGACTATCGAATGCAAACACTTACATGTAAACGTTGGAGATTGTTGATTGAAGAAGAATTTTTTAAGCAAGTTAGTACTTTGTGTCATTAAATTGTATAGTTTTCCGAGAATGTTTTATAGTTTTTAGATCAATCCATTGTGCGAACAGTATTACCTAATATGACGCGATTAAATATCGCTCATACCAACAGATTCAATCCATTGATATTTGTAGTATGGTTTCTTCCAGCACATAATATTCCAATAGTTAAAAATCGAATATTTGACATTTAATGAAATAATGGCATGAATAATAGAGTTAAAGGATGCATTTGTGAAGGGTGATCAATAACTGAAAAGGATCCTTTAACGAATTCAGAGAATAACTATTTCTTGTCTGCATTACAATTGTAATGAATATTAACTGAAATATTTTCGACTACTATCATCGACTGATTTGTGACATACTCTTTTTGTATTCAAACTTATTTTGCTATAACACAAAAAAATAATTACTTTTCTCAGAACTGGTTATGTGTATTTTCTGTTGTCAGTTTGCATATGGTATTCTCAATACTTTATTTCACGTATCTAAATGATTCATGTAACGGTAATATATTCAGTTATACTCTTGATCAACTATGATCCTGTTTAACATAAAAATTTCTATAGGTCATGAAACAAGTACTGTCAATGGTAAATTATTCTGTTCATCATTGAATCTTGTTTTGTTAATAATCAGGACAATTTCAATCTTGTATCATCTTTCAGTATGTTCATCGCACATTGCTTTCCGTTTAAAGTTACTAGATTTTTAGCAAGATTCACTTTTACCACTGTCTGTAACAACTTAGAACATATATTTAAAAGACAAGACAATATAGCCAACCTGATTGCTTTTTAAGGAATGAGCCAACTCTCGTGCTCCTTGATCTCCAATTTCGTTCATACACAGATCCAGTTTCATAAGTGTCTATATGCGATGTAGAGAAGACTAGATATCAGAAACAACAGACAATCGTATTACCTGATTGATCTGCAAGGCTTCAGCGAGAGACTGTGCACCTTTATCATCAATTTGGTTACCACGCAAATCTAATGTTGCCAGTGTCTATGTGTAGATAAAGATCATCTATACACTTGAGAGAGAAAGAAAATGTTACACTGTTATAACGTAATATATCAGCCAGGTGCTCTGCTCCTTCTTTGCCTATTTGATTGAATGCGAGTATCAGTGTGGTGAGTGCCTATATTAAAGATATATTAAAATATATAAAACGTCGAGGAAAATCATTACTTGATTTTTTCTTAGACCATTAGCGAAGTATAATAATTCTCGGTGACCAAGTTTATTGCTAGCAAGATTTAACGCAATTATCCTCTGGTTAAAATGAAAACAGATATAAGTATAAAACGCAAATAAAATATGTTACATGATTTTGTTGTAAAGTAATGCTCAACTTCTGCATTCCTTCAATACCGATTTCATTATTAGCAAAGCTTAATGTAGCAAGTGTCTAAACAGAATAATGATAAAGATGAAAGTGAGAAAAAAAAACAGTAATTACATGATTTGTTTTTAAAGCATCAGCCAAATAAATTAATCCCTTGTCAGTAATCTTATTCCCAGTGACATCCAACATAATAATGGACTGTATAAACAAAGAAAAATGGCTATGAGAATATTTGGAAAAGTTTTACCTTATTAATTAGTAAGGTATTAGCAAGATATTCTAAACCCTGATCTTCGATTTGATTCTCACAGAGATCTAGTTGTTGAAGTGTCTGTAGAAAATATGATGAGATGAGAATATATCTGAGTATTAAAATAAAAAAATATAACCTGATTTTCTTCTAATGCGAGAGCTAAATATTGTGCTCCTAGAAAACCAATTTGATTCAATCTGAGATTTATTGAAATGAGCGTCTGATTGGAATGAAAGAAAATCGATAGTAAATTGAAAAACTAGATTGGATTACAGTATTGATTTTTAGAGCATCAGCGAGATAAATTACTCCTTTGTTACCAATTTCATTGTTGGCAAGATCTAGAATCTTTAGTGTCTGCAGGACCACAATAAAGATGAAATTGAAAGAAAAAGAACAAATGTTTTACCCAATTATGATACAAAGCATCAGCAAGATATTTTGCACTTTGGTCACCTAGTTTGTTGTGTCTAAGTGATAATTCGGAGAGTATCTGTAGGAAATTTTGAACGATAAATAGAAAATAAAAAGAGAAAGAGAATTACTCCATTAAGTGTTAAGACATGTGAGAGATGCCGAACACCTTCGGCACCGATTTTGTTCGATGCCAAGTTGAGAGTAGTGACTCGCTATATAGAATTAGAAGCAATATTACAATAAAAGGAAATCAGGAAATGCCACCTGGTTATTTTCCAAGATGATAGCAAGATATTTAGTGCCTTCATCACCAAGATGATTTTGCCAAAGATTTAAAATTGTGATCGTCTGGTGAAGATTATACAGAACGCAATCATAAAGAAATGAATGTTACTTGATTATTTTTCAAGTCCATAGCTATTTGTTGTATTTCTTGCAGGCCAGTTTTCTGCGGACAAATATCCAGTATGCGAATTGTCTGATTACAGTAAAATCA